CTGCTGGCGTCACCAATGGCTAGATCTCAGCAGGAACGCGCTGTCAGGGGAGATACCAGCAAGTCTTGGAAAGATCCCAGCGCTGGAGATCGCGCTGAATCTAAGCTGGAATAGCCTCTCCGGAGAGATTCCGTATGACTTCGCTGAACTCAATCGGCTCGCCATTCTGGACCTCTCTCACAATCGTTTCTACGGCGATCTACACCCTCTCTCCGTCCTCCAGAACCTCGTCACCCTCGACATCTCCTTCAACAACTTCTCTGGCCGTGTCCCGAACTCCTCCTTTTTCTCCAAGCTCCCCACAGCCAAACTCGCCGGCAACCCCGATCTCTGTCTCGCCGGCTGCATCGCCGATACCGCAAATTCAAAACACTCGACATCCCGCCGGGCCGCGCACATTGCCACGGCTGCTTTACTCTCCGCTACTGTAGTTCTTCTCGGCACGGCGATCCTCATCTTCCTCAGCCGCCGGCGAGTCTCCGGAATCACAACCACCGTCGATGAAGAGAAAGACGGGGAGCTAGCCCCTCCATGGGAAGTAACGTTGTACCAAAAGCTAGATATCATCGTCGCCGACATTACAAGAAGCCTTAAGCCGGCGAACTCCGTCGGGAAGGGGCGTTCCGGCGTCGTCTACTCTGTCAAAATTCCGCCCGCCGGAACACTAATCGCCGTGAAGAAGTTCCGTACCTGCAACGATGCGGCCGCGGCCGCATCTGCTGGAAGCGAGATAGCCGCACTGGCGAGGGTCCGACATCGAAACATCGTTCGATTGCTGGGGTGGGCGGCGAATCAGAGAACGAGACTTCTGTTCTACGACTTCCACCCGAATGGGACACTAGGCGAGTTCCTCCATGGCTGTGCTTTAAATGGGGGAGGAACGGCGGTGATGGAGTGGGAGGTGAGGCTTGGTATTGCGATTGGGGTGGCGGAGGGTTTGGCTTATCTGCACCACGACTGTGTTCCGGCGATCATTCACCGTGACGTGAAGGCCGATAATGTTCTCCTTGGAGATACGTACGAGGCTTGCCTAGCTGATTTTGGGATAGCTTGTGTCGCCGGCGATGCGACTGGTGTTGGAGCAGGAGCGGTGCCGCCGCCGTTCGCCGGATCTTACGGCTACATTGCACCTGGTAAGTGAACCAACCCAAGATTCTTAGATGCTTTGTCGGTTTATTGAATGTTTTTTTTTGGTGCGATAGTTAAATTTAGCCCTAAAATTTTGAAAAACTCGACCATGTTAATGATTGTAATGTGGTTAATATTATCATTAATTTTTTTTTTAAATATGAACAAAAAATTATTTTAGACCGAAGCATCTCCTCGTTTGAGGTTTAGTTGTTGAAGTTCGTTGCGAACAAAATTGATTTAAGCTTTGAACAATGTTAAATCATGAATGGAACCTGATTTGAAATGAACCCGATTTGATCTAGGTTTAAACTTGGTTTGAATTGAGTTCAAATGAGGTTCAAACAAATATTAATATAATAAACAATATTTTCAATACATCTGAATTATATCACAAAGACTGTAACACTGTAGACTATAGCTTTAATAATAAATAATTATATTTTTATTTATGCCTTTGTATACCAACAATAAGCTTTGGGGTGAGACTGACACACAAATAAAATTCACTAGTCTAGCTCGCTTCATCGACAATCATTGTAACTATAAAGCATAAAAGTTAAGACTAATGTTAATGATTGACATATCTCACATTCTCATTTATGAGCCGTCTGACATAAATATCAGGGTCTTTTTATCAAGTCACTATCACTAGACGTTTTTTAATATCAGCTTCTACATTATAAAAAGAAGTGATTGAGACTATAGGAAAAGGACTCTCTCCGAGACTTGTTTGGAGATCTTGCATCGTTGCTCCCACCAGACCCTCATAATCATAGGTTTACGTCAGATCATCTCCTCTGCCCTACTAGAGAGGATGAAAAGCAGAACATATAATTCATGCATGTAGAAAACATCTATCTTGTTGTTTTATGCCTGAACATTTGACTTTTAGATCATCTCCTTACACAGGCCTCTCCCAGGTTGTGTGAAGTCACATGTCCTGAAAGGCTTTAGTAGTTTTAGGTGAGTTTTATAGCCACTTAGTATTGATAAAGCTAATATCTTTAAATTCAATTTTATGTACCTAAGCATACCATTTACGATACTAATTTATATCCCTGTAAAGTGTTCAAAATTTTTTTCTCTTTCTCCAACTTCATGAAAGTTGTAAATAAATTCATATTCTATTTCTTTTCAACTAGAACTTTTTTTTAATTCTTTTAAGAATATTAAAAAGATTGAATAGTATAATTATTTTATAAATAGCACCCTTCATATACAACTCAAGCTATATGATTATAAGCATAAAATCAAAGGGTTTGAGTCACATTTCAATATTATCCAAATCAGTTCAAGCAAATTTCAAATAAGAGAAACAATAATTGAATATTGGGGTTATGTTTTAGTGCACAAATAAGGTTCAAATAAGATTCAAAACTTCTATATAAATTTATATCTTATCAATTTTTTAACCTAGTATGCCCCTTTAATCTCCTTTCTCTTAAACCCAATGTTTTTTGGTGATAAATGCATTCATACTTAAATAATCATGTATACAAAAAAATAGGCTTTCTAAAGTCACATGTTAATGGGCTTTGTGGGTCAAGGATAAGACATTTCTTGGTCAATACATGTGTTAACAAACCTTTCGGGTTTAAGAAGCCCATCTTCAAAATACAGACATCATTTCTAATCGTCAAACTGACCTGCTGACCTCATTTGTCGAAATGACTTATCAATCTCACTTGTCGAAGTAACCTGCCGATCTTACTTGTCAATTTCTCAATAACTTTTCCCTAGAATTAGTCAAGGTTGAAGTGAATGTCATCGTTAAAGAACGAACATATGTTTATGCTTATTTATGAGTCGTCTAACATCCACATCACTATCTTCTCGATGGGAGTTCTTGGACTATTTCATACTGCACATTTTATGATTTAATATCATTTTTTCTCTCTATTTAGTCCTACAAGGGTAAAGGGCATCTGGATCTTCTTGATTATCAACTTCATCATCTTCATTTTCTTCCTCTTGAGTCTCCTCCAGGTTATGTAAGCCCACAAACAATACATCACTTGTGTCCTAAAAGGATTCAATAAATCAAAACCATAACATCAACATTCTTGAGGAAAAAAATATAAAATGGAATACAGAGAGTATTGTTGAGGAACTTTATCATAGGCTAAGTATTCAAGCTTAGAGTGTGTCAGAGAAATACAAGGTAAAGGAAGATGGAAGCATGTGCAACTCTCTCAGTTCAAAGTTTGCATAATTATACACTTCATTTTACATAGTATGGATATTCTAATCCGAATGAAAAGTTTAGGTCAATATTTAAAAAAAAAATTAGATGCAACACTAAGTTATAAATCCTAAATGTATATTAGAATAGAATGGATGATAATTTGTTTATTTTTTAGTTAGAGATCTAATACTTCAATGAAATAGTGCATTTATTTTTCCATATATTTCATTCATAAACCAGAACTCTTAACACAAATGCCAACGGCAATGCAGAGTACGGTTGCATGATGCGGATAACGAAAAAATGCGACGTGTTCAGCTTCGGCGTTCTGTTGCTGGAGATCATAACCCAGCGAGCGGGTCCGCCTAGCCGGCGGGCGCCCCCCCGACGGCAGCTTCGGCGAGGGGCAGACCGTCGCCGGTTGGGTCCGCGACCGCCTCCGAAGCAAGCGGGACCCACTCGAAGTGCTTGACCCGAGACTCCGGGGTCGGCCCGACACCCAGGTCCAAGAAATGCTCCAAGCTCTAGGCATAGCCCTCCTCTGTGCCAGCCACCGCCCGGACGATCGGCCTTCCATGAAAGATGTCGCCGTCCTCCTCCGTGAGATTCGCCACGACGACTCCGCCTGCGCCTTCAAGTCCTCCGCCGCCTCCGCGGCTGTTTCCAATGGTGTCAGCAAACGGTCTCCGACTGTAAGCATTGGCGTTGCAGACAGATCGCCATCGTTGCAATGCTCCATCACCTACTCGTGTGATGGGTTCAGGTAAATGGTGTTTTCCTCTACAATAATGCTGGAAAAAAAAATTTTTTTTGGGTGGGGCGGATGCATATGTTTCCATATCTAACATTTAAAACTTTAATTTTTTACATATATGATATTTTATCTTTGCATGAAAAAATGTTTTTCATTTTTTTAAAAGTTAATGTAGTTTTATTTGTTATGATATAAAAATTTGGGTAATATAAATTTATAAATATGTAAATACATTTTTTTATTTGAAAAAAAAAATTGTGCTTATAGGAATTTCAATTCTTAAGCTACTCTGATTTAAAATTAACATAAAATTATATCAAGGTGTCTAATTGAAGATGTAATACACATTTTTATTTGTTATATATCAAATTTGACAACTTTTTAGATTCATTGTGGCATAACTTTTAGTTAAAATATCTTGATATATTTCTTTAGATATATATACAAGGACCAAAGCTTGACTAGAAAGAATCTCAAAATATTTAATTTTTTTAAGTATGCAATTAAAATTTAGGGCATTAAATGCATGCCACCCAAGTTAAAGATTTTACTTTTTGCACTCATATATCATCAGCCAAATCCTTCATATCACATAAAAACTATCACTATCTGAATTAAAGTGAAAAAATTTGAATTATACCTTTTTCATCCATGGTTAACATGACTAGTATGTATAAACTGACATTTAGAGATGTGTAAAGACAAGAATTAAGCAGTATGGGTAGGGCTGTTAATTTGGCTCATTGTTAGTGAACAGCTCGTGTTCGGCTTGTTCGTTAAGCCTAACGAGCCGAACACGAACAAAAGTTTGTTCGCTCGTGTTTGGCTCGAAATGACTCGAAAAAAAAAATTTATATAAATTTTTATATAACAATATATTACATATATTATTTATATAATAATATATTATATATATTTATGTCTAAGTTTAAATCATAACGCATCATATGGCAATGTGGTTAGTGTCTTCTTTTGTATAGATTTGATCCAGGTTCGAATCCTACACTTTACATCTATTTTTCTCAATTTTAGTTTAATGAGCCAATTTCGAGCCGAACATGCAAACGAATATTTAAATTGAGCCGAACACGAACACACTGTTCACGAGCCGATTTCGAACACGAGCTATTTCGAACGTGCTGAACACGAGCCAAGCCTGAGCTCGCTAAAGCTCGATTCGTTTACAGCCCTAAATATGGGTGTGTATGTCTTAAATTTTGATTGCATCGATCTCAAAATAAATTTAACAAATTTTTTTTTATATTAAAATATTATTAAAAATTTTAAAATTTAAATAAATTATAATTTTGAAGATGCATATTTCATGTCGGCTGTCCATTCTTCTTCGAATAATCGCTTTCTAATGAAAAACCAGAAACCAGAGATTTTTTTTTTTTTTTTGAGAATTTGGATAAGAGAATTAAAAAAGAAAATTGGAAATCATAGTGCTAGTTGTGTATTGATTAGAAATAAGGGGGGGTTTTTTTATGCGAATCTCACAGCCCAAAGTTTAATTCTTTAATTTTAGAACTATGGAGAGACTACCAAGTTGTTCAGTGTGGGGGACTACTGATCAGATATAATTGCAGCATTATTGAAAGATAGTAACAGGCGGTGCAAATGATTAATTGCTGATAAACGAAGCCTGAAACCACCACACAAACCTCATCATCTTTCTCCAAAGGAAGACGACCATGAGAAGAACAGTTAATGCGAAAGAAAAAACAATAAAAGCCAGTTAACAGCACAAAGTTTGTTATATGGCAGATTTACATAAATACCCCTCAGTTTTTAACTCCTTATCTTTTTTAAAAAAAATGATATTTTTAGATGTGATCATGTGAATGATTTGAGTGGTATAAATGTAAATAGTAAAATTTAGATGTTTGATATACAGATACAGATACATAGGGATTGGGTGGGTATGCATGTAAATGCCCCTACTGTTCTTCCAAGGGTTTTTGAACTTTTGCTGGAATTTTTTTATTTGCAGATGAAGCTATGGAGCAGAAATGGGGTCATTTTCTTCATACAAATCTGGATCTAACAGAGCGGAAGGGGAAGACAGCTACCAAAGGAGTGAATCAGGTTAGCTCATTCAGTACGTATATGTAGATAAAGAGCAAATGCCTGATTGAGTTTCAAATTAGCTTTTGTTTGGAGCTGCCCCTCAAGTTCTTAAAATTTACATGAAATGGCACCCACATCCTTTCCAAATTATCAGATTTGCAATTCAGGCAGGTGCACGGTGAAAGAGAGGAGGGACTCAGTTCAACCTGAAAGTATTGAAGTAATATTAATATAATTTAAATAGGATGATTTACATGCATGCCACTCAATTCCTACGATTTTATATATCTTCAATTCGTACATAAATACCATCTAACATGTGCATATACCCATCAATCAATACCTCTAACAAACTAGGAAGAAATATGAGAACCACAACACTAAGCCAACTCATCCTCTCTCATTATTCCACAAAGACCAGACCCTATCCCTTGTTCCATACACAACCTGCACCACTAATAAGTAAATCAATAGGATAAACATTAAATCAACATCAATAAAAGAGACATCATGATTAAGGATTAGCTCAAGGTAACTAATAAATAATCAACAATGAAACATGATCAATAAGATTATAATAATGCTTGACATGAGCAATACATGTTGGTGCACTTGGACGTGAATAACCACATAATACCAACATGATAATATTTTTTGCATGCTAGATATTGTGTAGTTTACCTACTATAAATTATTTCTCAAGAACAATAATTCACAAAAAAACACAAATGCATCATAATATAGCTTTACATGCATAGGAGCACATGAGAATGCATAGTTTACCGATCGGTAGAAGTGTATTTGTAGATATCTACTAAAAATATAGAATGAAATTCAAATGAGGGAATACTATGCAAAATCATGCAAGATACACTACTTATTGAAATTGAAAGCATAAGAGCAATTTCTTATCAGGAATAGAGCAGCTCCCCCAACCTCTAAGACTTCAAAATCGCAGCTCTCTCTCTCGAGCACGCTCGCTCTCCTCAATTAAATGACTAGTGAGAAAAAATATGATGGGATACATGACAAGGGTAAGGGCATAAGAAACATTTACCAAATTCATCCTTTAGTGTAAATTCACATCAGAAAAGAAATTAAAATGTAGATGACTTCATTGAAAAACAAACATAAATATCACAATGAGTCTAAAGCACACAAGATCAAATTGTTCGTAAATTGGATACAAGATGACTTTAGAAAGTACAATTGTGCATGATAATAGTTTTATATCATACCAATTCACTATAGATTGTATCCAAAATTATCAACCTAATTGTGTATATGATCAAAAAATCATATATATGATCCTAGATCATATATACAATCATTGCACGTGAGAGCATCAAGATGATCAAATATGTAGTATGTCTGAAATTAGATTCACTAGAAGGTTAATATAAGCATACAAACACGTAATTTAAACCAATTGTATAATTTAAAATCAAGTGCGTGATAGTTCACTGCATAGACATATCGGGTCTCCGGAAAAGTGGACACTCAACCTTATTAAACTTTCAATGATGTATGCTTGTACCAAATCATACACTAACCCATACCACTACCAGATTATCCAATCAAGTCTGCCCGTACATAAATACCTTCACTCTCTGCACAATGGATCACATCTCACAAGATCAAGGTGGCAAATAAACTTCTTTGCTAACTCCCAACCAGTCTCTCACTCATGCCAATCCTTCCTAAGCTCGGGAACTAGCCGTTGAAGTTCAGGCCGGCTTCAGGCAAAGAATGGTCTCCGGAGTGGGAGTACAGAACGGGAAATTCTAGACTAATACCAAGCCTTCCACAATGTCTTAACATCAAGTTGACCTTAATTTTTCTCAATGACGCTCAACAAGCCTCTCTTTTTGACATCAAGTTGACCTTAATTTTTCATGTAAAACAGCATTATGCAAGCGGCTTAGGCTAGTGGTTGGGTGCTTTATCTTCAATCATAAATGTCTTGAGTTCAAGGCCTAACACATACAGGTATATGTATGAGTACATTAAAGCTTTTATAAGCATCTTTTTGAGGCTGCAGATAGGTTTATCTTTTAATACTTACTTTAAATACCAGACTACACTTTGAAAAGATAAATAAATAAAATGTCTACCTGTAGCTCAACTAGATAAGATTGCAATAGAGGTTCAGCAAGCTGTACAACATGAGAAATTTAGGGCAAAGAAACGAGAATCGACACAAATTCAGAAGAAAATACAGAGATTTAACGAGGTTCGACAAAGATGCCTACGTCCGCAAGAGCAGAGAGGCAACTTTCCTTCAATTTCAGAAAAGAGTACAGAATACTCCTTAGGGTTACAATACACACATATATATAGCCCTGGTGTACAATATGTAATTACAAAATTATCCTTATATCATACAGCGGGGGCGTTGCCCCCGCACCCCGACCCACATAACGTAACTACCCCTATTGGACGGACGCTTCCGCTCGACTGGCTCACTTCATTCCGCTCCAGCATCTGTCCCTTATCCGGTATATGAGCCATACCTAACATAATTGATTACCAAAGCTTTGAAAAAACTAAGAGATTGTACAGAAAAGAAATTCAACGCCACACAATTCAAGGAGCACAGTCTCCATTAGTTTTCAATGTATTTGCAATGTTAACACCTAAGCATTTGAATTTAAATGCTTACCCCTCAAGTCTTTTACATCCCATCAAGAATACCATAATCACTTTCTTTTTAAAAGTGAAATACACTTTTTTCTGAAACCAACGTATAGTATTATAAGCGTAAAAAACAAACTTTTGGTGTTAGATGTGTAAATACATAAAAAATGTGTGATATGTATGTAAATTTCCTAATTTTAATTTATTCATAAGCTCTAAAACTTTTGGATTAGGCTTACCTTATTTCTAGGAACTAATTGATTGAATCTAGAAAATAGTGTTTCACCTTTGAAAACTAATGGAGACTGTTCCCCTTGAATTCAGGAAATGGTAGGGCTGTGAATTCCTTTTTTTTGTATTGTAAATAGGAGCTTTTGATGGTTTTGAAAGCAACTTGGAAGCTTAACTTTAATTCCTTCAAATTTATCATTGCCTTAATTTTCTTCATGTTATCTATATAAGGTCAATTATCATAGTCCTCATTCGAATAATAGTTTTTAAGAATACCTCAACGATTTCTACAAGCTTTTTTTTTCCAATATTTAAGTTCCCATTGCACTATAAGATATACATGATCTATAGAATTTCTATTTTGCTTAATTCTAGGATAATGGAAATTTGAACTTATTTTAAAGACATTTTGTGAAAGCTTGAGAGATGAAATAAGTTGAGGAGGTGAATAAAGATGTATAATGGCATTATAATCTATTTACCTTTTATACATTATACCATTAAAATGCTCTTAAAAATCAAATATATAGATTAAAAAATGCCTTGTAAGTTGTATATTTTATATAATACCTATTGATTTTAATTGCATTTTAATACTAATATGAATAAAACATAAGTAGTTTACAATTATTTACATTAGGTGGAATTTAAAGCATATTTTTAATTATAGTATTAAAAAAATTCATGACTTTCGATATTCATGCTTTATTTGAATGGGTGAGCAAGCACAACCTTTTTTTGGTATCAAATTTATTTAAATAAGAATATCATAAGATAAAATTTAAAATTAATTAATTTAAATAATATTTTTACTTGTAGTGAATATTTTTTATACTAATAAAGCTTTTTATAAGCTTCAAACTTTTTTTTGGGGTTGTAGCCACACCCTCTAAAATTGGAATCTAACATGTTCCCCTTTAAAGTTTATCCTAAATAAATAAGGCTCACTTTAAATGGAAGGCTATAAGCAAGAGGAAAGGTATCGACTCGTTAAGCTTATTGGTTTGTGTGTGTATGGCCGAGGGAGGTGGTAATATTCTTTTTGGAACTTATGAGAAATATGTATGTGATTTATTATAAGGCAAGGGAGGCTTTAGGAATTGGTTTTTGTGTAAAGGCCTTTGGTCTAATGTTGTTCAAGAAAGGTATTTAAAAACCTAATATGATTGTGAATTGAGCCCAAGTTACACAAAGAAAAGGGAGAAATTTGAGTTTAGATGTTCTCTTAAGTGATCTAACTTTATAGCGGAATCACCTTAGAACAAAAAAGGGAAAGCCAAATTGAGCTAAGAGAGAGAAAGAATTTGTCATAAAAATTAGTGAGGATCCAAAGAGAGCTTTTTGTCCAAAAATACACGATTGTCTCATATGCCCATGTCCAATTAATGACCTCATATTTATAAGTGAGGTGAATGAATTTCATCCCACTAAGTGGGGTTGGCTACATGAATCTTTTTTCTCAACCGTGTCCTATTGAGTGTCATATTTATGTTTAATCCTAATAAAATAAGATCATTTTTAAGCGTTGGACCTATTATGTTATAGAAAAGTACCACTTAGACTTGAAGGAAAATTTTATAAGATGGTGGTGAGACTTGCAATGCTTTATGACGCAGAATGTTAGCCTTTAAAAAAGAAGCGTAAAACTAAGGTAAGTGTTGTTGAGATGTGAGAATGCTTAGGTGGATGAGTGGCTTGACACTTAGAGGCAATATGCGAAATGAATATATCTGTGAAAGGGATGGCGTAGCTCCAGTGGCATAAAAGATTAGAGAGAGTCGGCTTAGATGGTTTGGACACATTAAACATCGACCATCTGATGATTCTTTCAGGAGAGTAAATGTTTTAGATTCGACTTATGTTAAGAAAGGTAGAGGTAGACCTAAAAAGACTAGGGCATAATGTATAAAAAATGATCTTAATTTATTATAATTAAATGAAAAAATGACACTCAATAGGAGACAATGGAGAAAAATGATTCATGTAGCCGACCACACTTAGTGTGATAAAGGCTTTTTGTTGTTGTATTGCATGTATCATAAATTTTAAAAAAATATTATATTAAAATTTACCAAAATAATATAACGATGCTAAATCATATTAATTAAAAAATAATAAATTATATATTTGAATTTTTATTTAGTATACTTAATGTTTTTATTTTGACTTAAAATTTTTATGATAACTTACTTGCATATATGATTTTTTACATAAACTATAGCAAAGTTTTTTAAGGTCATATATGTTTAGCCATCAGTTCATCTTTGATTAGCCATTTTGAAAGAGCTATTTATATATTTTGGCCATATTTTAAGAAGTTATAAATAGAAAATGTGTTAATGAGTTAAGAGTAGTAGAATGGAAAGCTTGTAAAAACCTTCTTAAACTCTTTTTTCTCTCTCAATTTGTTTTCCAATCTATATATGCCCTTGAAATAAACCTTAAAGCTTAATCAAAATCTCTCCAAAAGCTTGAATACATACAAAACCACATCATTAACAACAACTTCAAAGTTGTTCGAGCGATCATCAAACACTATAAGTTCGCTCTTAAAGT